AGGGCTCAGGGCTGGGCTGCAGGCTGTTGGCAGAGGCGGTGGGAGGAGAGGTGTGGAATAGATGTGCTGGAGCTGTGGTGCCACACGCCCCTGCCCTGCTGTGCTCTGAAGCTTCTGCGTTACTATGCTGTTATTTAAAGAACAGTGTGGAGGAGGCACCCCTCTCCACCCCCTTCCATCCTGTTTCAATGGCATTTGAGTTTTACAAATTATGATATAGGAACTAGGAGGCACGAAGGGATGCTGGGCTGCCCCTCTCTGGTGTCACATCTTTTGGGCATAGTGGGTGGCAGGGCTCCCACTGTTGATGCTCTCCTTCAATGCAAGGGACCTTGAGTTTGGAAGATTATCACAAGTTATGGTTATTAGCACAAAAAATAATTTGGGGGGAGTGATATGATGGGATGTGATAGGAGTTTGGATGCCTTGTAAAGCACTGCGCAATATTGTGAATACATTTGGAAGCAAGGAGCAAGTTATGGTGTCCAAAATCACAAAGGGAGTTTAAACCTTGATGGCTTTTTTATTGTGGTGTGTCTAGGGCAGTAAAGACCTGGACACTGCTGACTTACCTGACTGTATTTTCCATATATGAAGCTTGTGTGTGCTGGGCACTCTCTGATGCTTTGTAGGCTCTGGTTCAGGTGTGTCCTGCTGGGGCTTTGTGCTGAGCTATGGGGGATTTCAGCTGAGTCCAATACTTGCAGAGTCTGCTTTGTGGTGAGGTCTGTCTGTATTTCCACAGTTCCTGGGACTGGCTGGGGATAGATCTAAAGCATTAAGGAAAGACATTCAGTTGTGGGGAAGGCAGCTGGAGATGTACGATGTATGCCTCATCTCTAATTTGTGTCTGGCCCTTGTTTGAGTTCCTCCAACCCTGGCTGCTCTGTTCCCGTGATCCAGAGTGGCACCACGTTATTAAAATGCGTGGAAAACTTCCCTCATGCAGAATTGGATGCCTCATGGTGGAAATGAGGGTGGGTGGAGGAGGGACAGGCAAGTAGAGTCCCTCCCCAGTAGAGCTGCTGACATCATGTTGGACTGAACCACATAATATAGCTTACAGTTTAATTACAGGGGCTTTAGCTTGTTGCTGTCATTAATGAGGCATCCAGCTTAATTTAGCTGAATAAAAATGGCTTTAATAGTGGGAACTCTTTTGGCAGCAGGGTAATGGAGGGAAAAGAAGAACACGCTGTTTTCTTTTTTGTGGAAGACCACTCACTGTGGGCTGCCTGGAACTGGGCTCCTCTCCTGATCAGGGCGGTGAGGCACTGGCACAGGTTGCCCAGAGAGGTGCTGGGTTCCCCATCCCTGCAGGCACTGCAGTCAGGCTGGATGGGGCTCTGAGCACCTGATCAGCTGTAGGTGTCCCTGTTCAGTGCAGGGGAGTAGAACCAGATGGCCTTTATGGGCCCATTCCTACTCAAATAATTCTAGGATTCTAAGCACAGGAGTGAGGGTCCTGTGCAGAAGGTGATGCTTTCCTAATCCCCATGTGTTCCTCCTGCACAGGGACCGAAAGGATTGGTCCTCTTTTCTCTCTCCTCATTCCTCAACCAGATTGCCACAGCTATGTCCTGAAACAGGCTTCTGTTTGCCAGTGTGAAATACACAGATAAGGTGTCTTGCTTCTCTCTCTCAGGTGTCTCATCGACATGTGATGTGCCATACTTTATTACAGGTGGAGCTGATGCACAGGCTGTTATAAAGATTGTCTGGCATGCTCTGCTACAGGATTGTTTCCACTTTCCTATACCTCTGCCAGATTTTAATTGCTTAGGCTGAAGTTTTCTGTGTTGGGTGTCTGCTCCTGGCTCAATCCATTTTTTTCTGATGCTTTCTGTCTGGTTTCAAACAAAACCTGCTCTGATGGCTGAGGCAGCAGATAGAGGGAAAATGGGCTGTTGGGTTTAAGCCAGAAAATACTGGTGTGATGCTTCCATCCCAGGGTACCCACACTCTCCTTTTGTGGAGGGAGGAATTCTGCTTGTCAAAGAGGAGGTAATGTAGAAAAGGCTTATTTTTGCCTTCTGTATGTGAGTGTGCCAATATTCAAATGAATCAAAAAATCCTCTATTATTACTAGTGATTTCTGTGGTGTTCCCAGGTAAATGGTCTGGGTGTTTCAGGAGTTATGTGAGCCTTCATGTTTGGTAGCACCTAGTTTTCTCTAGGACTTTATAGAGGCAGAACAAATCTTGATCCAGTTGGAGGGAGTTTTGCAGAGGACATCTGGGAGGAGATGAAGGGTAGCAGCTCTTGTTGGGACACTGGGAATGCAAGGATGCAAGGACTCGGAAGGTCATAGGATGTGGATAAAGAGATCATAGAATCATTAAGGTTGGAAAGATCACTAAGATCATCTAGTCCATCAACCCATGAGGAGTGTTTAGGAGTAGTTTGGTGAGTGATAGGTAGAAGGTGGGCTCCAGCAATAGAAGCAATGGGGATATGGAAGCAAGAAGGGGCTTTTGGCCTGGGAAACTCACTGTGCGTGGCCAGAGAACAGAGGGAACCTTACAAATGCTGAATTGGTTATAAAATGCCATTGCTCCATTCACCCGTGGAGCCATAATTTAATCTCCTCGTGTGCATGTACTGTGATACTATCTCTAATTACATAATCACATGCTATTTTCCCCAGGAAGCCTGCCCCATCCAGCACAGGGGATGGATCTATTCTGGGGAGAGATTGAAGCTCTGCAGAGAGGTTTTCCTGTAGCAGCTCTGCATCTTCTGCCACAAAAGTCGGCAGATAGACTCAACGCATGCGTAAGAGAGCAGGACTGAAACCCTGTAGGGTTTCAGGTGTTTGGGTCTGTGACCTAAATGACATGATTTTCTGTTGCATTTGTGGATGCAGCCCTGTTCTGTGTCCATGCTGATATCCAGGCCTTGTACAAGGACCTTACTGACACAGATGTCTGATGTGACTGGGGCAAGGTCAGATGCATGCAAGTGAGGACTCATCCTGCCCAGTGCTCAGCGTGGGTTGTAGCTTTCTGGGGTTGGGATGTGGGTGGTAGGAGTTGGTTTCCAAGGACTGAAGGAGAAGAGCTGAGCACATCTGCATGGCGAAGATTCTTGCGTTAGTGAGGACGTTTCCTTCCTCCATCTCCCTGTGCCCTAAATTGTAATAACATGATCATGCTATTTTTGATTCCCTTATTTGCGTGAAAAGCCTGTTGTTTTTTCTCTTCTCTTTCAGAATCCAATTTTCTCTTGACATTTCTGCCTAATGTAGCAAAACATGACCTTTGAGAAAGGACATTCTAGCAAGACTCACTTCCCTCCTCTGCATCTCTGCCTCTCTCCCACATTTTGCTGTCTCTCATGCATCCCCTGTTACGCTTCCCTCTCCTCTCTGTGTAGGGGGAGGGAGTGTACTGTCTTATTTCTTTCTAGCAGTGATCTGCTCCTTCCCCTCCTACTTTTCATCTGTCTTTGCAAACTTCCTAGGTGCTGAGTGCTCCAGGGTGGATAAAGGAAAGAGTTTGGTAATTTTTTTTTTTTTTAACTTTTCCCTTGTTTAACATCACCTGCTATTTTTTGCCACCTCCCTAAACTTTGGTGGAGGCTGGAATCAATTTGTCTACAGCATTAAGAATTGAGGGCTGGGGGGGTGGAATCTTAGTCATGCAAAATAAAGTGCCTGTGTTTTGCAGTGGTTTACACAGTGGGGCAGTCTGAGAGGCACAAGCAGAATTTAACGATGCAGCACTTTTGGGCTGTTTTGAGCTGTTGGGATGTTTGGGATTTTGTGCCTGCCACACTCATGGAGAGCGTTTGGGATGCTGATTTGGTGTCAGAGCTGCAGTGAGCTCCCCATTCCTAACTGTAGAATTTCAGAGCAGGGCTTTGTGGGGGAGCCCTATAGTGTGTGGAATGGATCCAGAGCTCCCAACGGGATGAGAAATGATGGCAATGGAAGCATACTCTGAGAGATGTAAGGAGTCACCTCCTGTGTTTCCTGGAGCTCTGAATGCTAGGATAGATACAGGCAGATCTGGGATTCTGCCAACACCCCTCTGCTCACCCCAGGCATCCCCAGGAAGGCTGCAGACAGCAGTTTTCCTTATCATCATGTTGTGCTGTCGGAAATCCAAGGCACTTCTCTTTGTGTGGCTGCCTCCTCCCTGCCTAGCTTGTCCCCAGAACATCGTTTCTCTTTTAGTAATTCTTAGTTTGATTTTGCACTCTTTTATCCCCCCTGGCTTCCTGCTGAAGAGGCGATATCTGCTGGGTTGCAAGGCTCTCCCAGGTAGATGAGATTTATGTTTCTGCAAGTTTGGACAGATGGAGAGAGGGATAGGGAGCTGTTAGCTGCTGTGGTGGTGATACCCCTGGGTGCAAGCAGCAAACAGCCATAACGGGATACTGTAATGCATGGCTACTAGGTACCATACGATAATACCTTGGGTAATCATTGTTCTGTTGTTACAGCTCGGGTGTTAATACTTTTAACGTGACAGTTTTGCTTAATTTTTGTTCGGCTTACAAAACTAGACTTGTTCTTTCTGCTCATGGTTGGTTGAGCTCCAGATTCACAGGCAAGAATCAGGCAAATCTTACTGTCTGAATTATTGCTATTATTTCTTTTAGCATTGCAGCAGGATATAAACCACTTTTCCCTGTGGGAGGATGGAATAAAATCATAGAATGGCTTGGGTTGAAAAGGACCACAATGACCATCCAGTTTCAACCCCCCTGGCTACGTGCAGGGTCACCAACCACCAGACCAGGCTGCCCAGAGCCCACATCCAGCCTGGCCTTGAATGCCTTCAGGGATGTAGCATCCCCAACCTCCTTGGGCACCACCCTCTACATGAAAAATAAAACGAGGAGCTTCCATTCAGGTTCAGCTTCATTAAAATCTCTCATTAGGAAACCTGAATGGGGTCCTAAACTGTTTGACAGCGCTGTAGCAGATGATGGGCCCTGTGGTGGAAGTAGGAGGAATTATTTACCATGACTCCTTTTTTCTTGTTAATTTTCAGAGACCTCTCTGGTAACCGGCTCACCACCTTGTCATGGCAACTCTTCCAGACGCTGCGGCTCTTTGACCTGTAAGTTCTATCCTGGAGGTTCTTCCTGAAAGAAAAGGGGAGGCTGAGAGGAGGTTCTTTACATAGAGCTGGTTTGAAGCCTGGGAATAATTATCTAGAACTCCATTGGGCAGAGCCTTCTTTGGGAGGGTTTCCTGGCTATGGGAGCACCAGAGCAGAACTGCTTTTCTTGTAGCATTGTAGCAGCTGGCTAATTAACATCAGGATGATGAACAAGTCATTCTTGGGGTAGTAAATGGTTGACTAATGCTAGGAACATGTAAGACATACTCATTGGGCAAGATTTGGAGTGAATCTTCCCAAAGACTTGGTCCTCATGGTTGGCCTCCAACTGTTATATGTATATTTTTCACTTCTGGTCAGGCTTTAGAAACAATCCTGATTTTTGGGTGGGTGACTCCCTTGATCTCTAGCAATTGAGGTACCTGCCAGCTCCCATGTGCACGATGAGATAGTGTCCCTCCTGGGGCACCAGTGGCCTTCAGCCTGTTGAATTATTGATGGAGCATTCAGTGCTGTGCTTGAAGAATAAATGGACATGAAATCAATGGAGTGTTGCCCTGATGACCTGTTTTGTCGGATTTTAGAAATAGTTGTTTGGTAGGTATAAAAATACATATATATATGTAGGATTTCTCCCAGAGGATCCTGGGAAGCTCATTCATCCTCACCAATGATCAATAGAGCTGTAAGCTGGAAGTGACTTATGAAAGAATAAAGACAGTCTTTCAAGTGGGAGTAAGTGTGTTATCACCGGTGTTGCTGCAGTGCATTTTATTTCTGTCAAATTGTTAAATGAAAAATACTAATAGTGATATTAGAAATAGAGGAACGCCCTTCTGATGGGGAATCTGGCTTGCAAACGTAAAATGCTGAACTTGGAATTTGTCCCCTTGCTGATTGCTCTAAATATTTTTAAAGCCTGGCTCAGGTTTCAAGTTTAATAGCATGAGTCATTTGTATTCTTAGACCTTTACTTATTATCATTGCACTGTTTGGCAAAATTCAGATTGATGGTTGCTGCCTCAGAAAGACCCAAGTGTGGAGGTGCAAAAGGGGCCACAGTCCTGGGCAAGAGGCATCAGCAGAGCCTAGGATCACAGTGATCTTGCAGATCAATGGTGATGCTTCCAAAGTGGCTCATTTCTGTTGTTTCATTTCTCTGCTTATATATATATATTTTTTTTTTTTCTTTGGGAGTGCCCCAGGTCTGCTAGAACAAATCGGGCTCAAAAGACCAATGCCAGACAAAGAGGGAATTGAGATGCTGCTTTTTGGGCACTGAATGGTGCATGTCCCATCAGATGCTGAATACATTCATAGTGAACAGCGGATGCTGGCAGGGAAGCTGGTGTGCTGGAGGTGGCTGCAGTCTGTGTCAGCAGAGTCACTCGAGGCCAGGGCTCTGCAGCCTGGCAAAGGAAAATAAAGTGAATGGTTTGGCTCCTGTTGGAAATGTGCTCAGAGCTGCACTCAGAGATAACGAGCCCTGATTAATGAAAGAAGTAATGTGGGTAGGCACATGGGAAATCATGGGGCTGGGTATTAGGAAAGAGATGGGAGATGGACAGCCGTTCTGTTATGAATTGTGTTGTCAGCATTTTCATTGGAGTTTCTTGGCAATGCCCAGCTTGGCTGGTCATCTCTGCCACTGTGCTCTGAAAGGCTTCTTGGCATCACCCTGTGGCATGGGCTTGAGTGATCAACAAGAACCCTGTCTGGGAGCTGGAATGAGAGCCTGGTCAAGTTTATTTTCTTCTGGAGAAGTGCTTTGTCACTGCTATTTCTTGTCATGTGTCCCCTCTGGGTTTCTCATCACTATGGAACCTCTTCCATGTCAGCACGGGTAGGATGCACCCAAATAACATGATGCTACTGCTTCCCAAAGCATGAAAGAGGAGGAATGTTTCAGATGATATCCACTGGGAAGCCAGTGTTGATGTGCTTGTGTCCTTCCCGTGGCCAGGAAACTGCTGAACTTCGATGTGTTTGAGAGAAAAGATCACGTGGGAATGTAGCCTAAACTATGGACTCAATAATCATTCACATAAAGAAGTTGGAAACTAAGGTAAAGAAATATTTCTCTTGTGGAGTGGTCGTGGTTCTGAGCACTGGGGCTTTTAAAGAAAAGTAAGTCTCCAGGCTGCAGAGAAATTAGGAAAGGATGTGCAAAAGTGGAATTTTTATTTGTAATTTTTTTAGAAATGCAGAGGATGGGTGAGTAGAAGACAGTTTTTTGGCATGCTGAGCACCAAGCAGGCTCCCAGAATTTGGAAGGGAGATGGAATATATGGCCTACATAAAGTGAGCGTGAAGCACTGGTGAAAACCAGAAAGGGAGTTACATGAAGGATTTACGTGAAGCCAAAAACCCCTCTGGAGAGGAAGGAGGTGGCAAGGAGCTGGGGCCTGTGCAGAAGCAGAAGCCCAAGGCTGGAGAAGATGGGAGGATTGTCTCTGGAAAAGTGTTGGGATGGAGGAACTGCTACTGTGTGTGATGGAGATCTCCATATGGGAACATAAAACCTGACAAAGCCATGGTGAGCACTGAGATGAGCCGAATGCTAATATGAAAATCACACCGTGCTGTGAGAGCAGGCAGGTGAATGGGAACCTGGGGCTTGAAAGAGCTGCCAGTCTGCATTCAAACCGTCTCAAGCTAGGAATATTACTTTAAAGCAGAAGCGTTGAACAGAGTGGAGCTTTTCCAGTGATGACTCACTGAAGAAAGGATGGCAAAAATGAGGCATGCTTCCAAAGAGTATTATCTCTTTCTCCTTCTGGCCAGAACAAGACTTGGAATGGTTTCCTGTAACTCCAGCCCAAATTCCCACGGCAGAGGCTGACCTTGACCGACAGGGCTGGAGCTAATGTGTGCACAGCTCTCCAAAGCCTGAAGCAAGCTGAGCGTGCACAAGGAAGCATCTGACACTTGCAACAGCTCATAAACATTGGACTTAGAGCCTTTCTTATCCAGAAGTCACAGCTGGTTTCCTCTGTCATGTCCTTGGCTTCCTTTGTCACGTCCTCAGAGAGCTTAGGGCTGACATTTCAAGAAATTCCTTCCCGGAAAGGCCTAAGACTCTGGATCCAATTACTTCCTTGGTTGGATAAAATGCTGTAGTCCTGAACATCTTGTTTCTCTGCCTGGACTGTCAGCATTTCTAATACAAGTAGTCCCTGCCAGCTTAGCCTGCAGTACATTTTTACAATGCTACACAAGATGCTTTGGGAATGGGGCATGGCAAGCTCTCTGGTGTGCTAAGCCTGGCTTAATGTCTGTGCCCTTAGCTTAAAAACTTACTGCCACCAACAGTTGCACTAATGCAGCTGTAGCAAGATGATGGTACTTGCCTGCTCCATGCGTTAACCAATGTGGATGTTGGACACCGTGTGTTGCTCCCTATCAGAGCTCTTCCCTTTGGGTCCCATCCCTTTCTGGAAGGAGGTGAAAACAACACCTGCACCCCCAAGAGAAGCACTAGTGCTGGGAAACAGAAATGGGAAATGAAAATAGGTTTTGTTTTCTGCCCGCCGGGCACATTTTGGTTCTTGAGCTTAAGGAAACGGGCTGTGTCTAGAAGGATGAGAGTGTTTTAATTGCAGGCATACCGAAGCTCAAGAGCAGCTTTATGTGAATGAAAACAGGCAGCAGAAGTGTGGCAACAATCTGAGCTGCTGCCCTCTGAGAGCCTGTAGCTGCAGACAGCTTTGGTTTAGCTGATGAGACCTGGGATAAGGTGTGTGTCTTGGTAAAAAAAAAATCACTCTGCTTTGGGTATGAAGTCCTTCTACTTGGAATACTGGTGCTGGGCATGATTGTCCGCATTTCCTTCTGTCCCAAACTTGAGCACAGTGCTGGTGCCCTGTGTGCTCAGATCTTGCCCAGATGCTTTGCCTGCTGGCTGATGCTGGCACTCATTATGGGTTTTATCCCTTTTCAGGCCAGTTCCTCTGGTGCAGAAAGCAGCTCTGCTCCTGTATGGAGACCAATGTGCCTGTAGCCATGATGCTCACTGCTTCTCACAGGCATTTTCTATGTTAACGAGACCATCAGGAAGATGTGGGGGTGTGCAAAGCTCCTGAGTGCCTGTAACCAAGAGATGCTTTGGCAGCGTTTCCAGGCTAAGGCTACGTGATAGAAATATCCTTATCCTCTCAGCAGTGGGCTGTGCTGAATGCACGTGGACAGGAGTCTCTTGCTTTGGATGTCTCTGAGATGCTGATACATCCAGTAAGCACATAAAATTAGAGAATATCCCTTGTTGGAAGGTACCCATAAGAATCACAGAGTCCAATTCCTGGTTCCATGCAGAACCACCCAAAAATCAGACCATGTAGTAGAGGAGGTCTCTCGGCTGCTGCACCATGCTTTACAGAGATGTATCTCCAGGGTGCTGGCTTCCTACCAGCCAGTGGGGTTTTGCTCCTCAAGATGCATCTAGTGCCTAGTGATATATGTTAGCCACAGTTCTAGGACAATGATGAGATCTGAAAAGAGAGATGAGGGTTTGTTTTGGGGTTTTTTTTTTTTTTTTTTTTTTTTTTGAGCAGATTTTGAGTGGAAATAGGCATTGAAATCTCTGCAAACCTCATTGTGGCATGGAAGGCTCCAAGCAAAGAGGAGAAGCATCTCCCATGTGCCAAGTGTGCTTTTACAGTCGTGTAAGAAGAAAACTGATCTATGTACACATCCGGAAACCCACAGTGTGTTCACATTGCAGTGCCGTGCCAGCTGCCGGTGGTGCTCAGCGTGTCTGGCCAGTGATGGGAGTTAATTTGTGCAAAAGCCCCTGTGGGGGTCTCGGTTAGGGTGTGTTACATCACTGATGTTGGGGCAGGTCGTGGTTAAGTTCTGCCCTGACGCACGCTGCTCCTGTATTATTCATGACCCATCATGAATTAGCAATGGGCTGGGAAGGCTGCCTTCTATTACTTACAGCACTCCTTGCAAGTGCTGCGACAGCAGCTCTGCCCAGCAGCCTTGTTTCGTGAGGATATTTGCAAAGGAGCAGAATTTCCCCTTCTTGCAGTGCCTCTTAGCCCACATTGCTCCTAAGGTACAGCACTACTATTGTGTCCTGCACCCAGCCCTGCTGGTGGCAGTGATGTCGGGTCTCCAGGAGAACCTGGATTCTGGATCTGTGGCCACGATGAAAGGATTGTGAAGCCTGAGCAGAGAATGCCTTATGGAATGCCACCAAATCACTGAGCTAATCTGCTCTGGCCTGTTAAATTCATTGTTTTCGCCTTCAGGTCTCTTGTCAGAGCCTTGTAGCTGTCTTAACAAAGGTTTGGGTGCTTGTGAATGGGGGGGAACACAATAATGAAAACCCACTGAGTGGAGCTTAACTCCACTTTTGGAGTTTGTTATGCAGGTGTCAGTTTGTATCTCCCTGTAGAACAATATGCCATCATTAGGGTTCAGGTTTAATAACCCTGAGTGCTACCAGGAGCTGCCTTCTCCTGCTTTCACAGCACCGTTATGGACCAATGGCAGCTGCATGTTTGGAACTTGTTTCCAAATCCTGTTAGTCGGTGGAATTAATTTGTAAAAGGAAGCATGAATTTTGCAGTGATGTGTGGAATGGAGCAGAAAAGCAGCTTCCCCCTGTGTGAGGCAGGGAGCTGGATGCTGCAAGAAGCAGCAGTTTGACCTTTGGAGATGCCCTTCTGCTTTGGGGTTATCAAGCTCACCTTTTGCTGTATGGACTGCTTTGTTTTCTGCTTCACTGTTTCACAAGGACTGATTCTGTTTGTTCAAGCTCTCTCCTCTGTTTTGCTCATGCTATCAGTCCAGCTCATGTTGGTGGTAACTCCTGTGCTGGCTGAGCACTGAGGTTTCCTCCCTGCTGAGATCTGCGCTTATTGCGTAGATAGCTGTAGGGCTTTAAAAATGTAAATGAAATGGTTAATAGGTTGGAAAATCAATAATAATAAACATCCATTGTATATAAAATGTGTAACAGTGTCTTAAACGAAGTACATTAAAGGCAGTGCTTCTTTCCATTTCTCCCGGCCAGGTCAGCGGGGTCTCAGCATGGTGCTGTTTGATTTGATTAAAATGCATGATATCCTGCACATTAGCTCATGTCCTGGAGCACCAGGAGGCTGTGTTTGTATAAGGTACTCAGCAGAATCACTGCTGGCTTCACTGTGCATTGGTGGTGGAGTTGGAGGTGTGCTTTCACCAGCAGGCTCTTGGACCCCTCTAGGTGTGGGGTGCTAGGAGTGAGTCGGTGTGTTAGGGTAGTGTGACGCTGCTTGCTCCTTTCTAAGGGATAAATCTGATTTGTTGGAGCTGTTGGGATGGCATCACTGTGAGACTGAGCTGTAGATGTTCCCAATCCCTGGAAGTGCTCCAGGCCTGGTTGGATGGAGCCCTGGGCAGCCCGAGTCCCACAGCAGGGAGATGGAACTGGGGCTTTGGGGTTCCTTCCATCCCAAGCTTTCCTATGTGCAGTCCTCATGGTGAAAGGTATATGCAAGCATGGACCTGGAAGATGTAAAACCTTATTCACACACACACTCCTTCACAAACACATATGGATATACAAAACCTGCCTCTCTGGAGCAGGAAGAGATGCGAACCATGTGTTCTAGATGATCCTGCGGAGGAGCTTCTCTCCGGTTATCCTTCCCTAACCCCACTGTCGTTTCTTTCTCTCTGCCCATAGGAGATTAGAGAGGAACCCTTTTAACTGTAGCTGTGACATCCGCTGGATCCAGCTCTGGCAGGAGAAGGGCGAGGCCAACCTGCAATCCCAGGAACTGCGCTGTATGAACTTGGACACGGCCATCATCCTTTTGCAGGACATGAACATCACCCAGTGTGGTAAGGTGCAGCCCGTTCAGGGCTCCTGGGAGGGTGCTGGCAGGATGCCTGTCTTGCTCCATCTGGTACAACCAGCCAACCCATTTGTAGGGAACCTAATGCTGCACTACCTCGCCGTGTGGTCAGGGATAACATGATTGAAGATAATTAGGGTGTCTTGTGTATTAAAAATAGAATCTGGGTAAATGTTGGGCCGCTGTTTTGGTGTGCTCGAAGGTGCTGTGGGGTTTGGGAGGCTTTCTTTGTTGTAGTGCTATTGCTTGAATCATAAACCTTAGAATCAATCAAGTTGGAAAAGACCTCTAAGATCACTTAGTCCAACTGTCAGCCTGTCCCCACCATGCCTCCTGATCACATCCCTCAGTGCTGCATCTTTTCTTGAACATCTTCAGGTATGGTGACTCCACCACCTCTCTGGGCAGCCTGTGCCAATGCATCATTCTTTCTGAGAAGAAATTTTCCCTGATATCTGACCTGAACCTCACCTTGCACAACTGAAGGCTCTTGTCCTAAATCTTTGATCGATCCATGTGATAGCCTGAGAAGCTTCATATAGCTCTTCGTCTGTCTACCAAATTCTAGAAGTGGTATATTGATAAGAGAAAATACCCTTAGGAAATACGTCTCTATCCGTTTTCTTTGCTTTAACTTCTCAATTGAAAGCTTGCCTCTGTCAGCAAGAGGTTGGAGTGACTGTATCTCGCTCTGCTTTATGCTTGTGTTTAGTAGAGTCCAGTGTCCCCAGGAGCACGATGAGGCACGTTCAATACTTACCCTTTTTCTTTCACCTTGTTCTCATGTCAGCTGCCTGTCTGGTATCAGTTTTTGCTCTGTTGTTGCCATTACTGGAAAGCATTTCTTGTAGTATAAAGGGAAGGACGTGTACCTTTAGCAGAACAATTAAAGTGTCTGTACACGAGCAGCTGTCAAACGCAGAGGATGAAAAAAGAAAGAAAAACGGAGGTTTTCTTTCTTTGATAATTGACCTCTGTTCCAGGAATTTGAGTTCATTTCTTGTAGCAGTAGAACACAGACAGCACGCGTTTTCATTTGCATGAATTTTTTGCTTCTGAGTTCACGATGTCCCTTTATTAATCCCTGGAAATTGGCCGGACTCTGCCTGCGTGTGGATGAACTAAAAAGATCTGAAAGAGCACTGTAACTTTCTCCACAAATAGGGGAATAATAATCTGTAAGGATTTGAGGGGAAAAAGATCTGTAGGAATCGGGGGTGGGAGGAGAGATGACTCCGTCAGTGGTGGTGTTAGATGGGCATCAGGGTGATGATTTGGGAGCACAGATGTCCTGGCTTTGGGTCTGTGTGATGGAAGCTGCCCTTCTGTGATGGAAGGGGACCGCTGTTCTGCCCTACCCAGAAGAGCCCAGAATGTTCTTTGCCCTTCTAATTGCAGCCAGACGGCCTTGTTTCATGTTGCAAGGATTTTTGGTGCCTGCAGCACCAAGAAAGGAAGGTATGTGAATCAGGACTGCCGTAAATCAATGAATTGTTCTGTTACCACCAAGGCAGAACAAGGGCACCTTTTGTTAGGAGAGTGGTGGTTGATATGAGGATGCATTCTTGGTCATCTGCTATTGATTGTTACAAATTAGAGGGATAATGTTCTTTCTCAGAGTGCTGGGCACTCTCTGCCGTATGCCTACAGGTGTGGACACTTTGGATCCTCTCTCAGTGCATCAGCTTTCTTGTCACTGGTGACTGCTCTTAAAAGCAGCATCTGTGGGGCTAAAAGAAACTGGGAAGATGTTGTGTGAGGGGAAGAGCAGCCAGAACTGAACACAACTTCTGGAGGATCTTGTCAGCTGGCATATCTCCAGCATCCACGTTACTGGATGTGGAACACATCTCCATGCTCCCTCTTTTCCTTGGTGGGACAGTACCGTGCCATTGCTTCCTGCTACGTACTGCAGAGTGCTGGAGGCTGATTTGACAAACAGCTTGGTGGGATTTGTATCCACATGTGTCCTGTGGCCAGTGCTGCCCTGCACCTAAGAATTTCTATGTCTGCCCTCCCAGACCTCCCTGAGATCAGTGTGAGCCATGTGAACCTGACGGTGAGGGAAGGGGAGAATGCTGTCATCACCTGCAATGGCTCAGGATCACCACTGCCTGACGTTGACTGGACGGTGGCAGATCTGCATTCCATCAACACACACCAGGTAGGGCCCAGGAGGTGCAGTGCTGCTGGGTGCTGTCATGGGGGGGACCTTGGGTTCCCCACATCTATGAATGGGGGGATCTGTAGGTATTGTGGAGTGCAGTGCGAAATGTGAAATGACTGTAAGGAAAATAGAGGTATCTTATCCGTATGAGAACCCTGAAGGACGTTGCAGGCAGCAAAGACTTTCCTCTGTGTGACAGGAAAGTGAAGATGAGATAGCTTCATATCTCAGTGCTCCCTAATTGAATCTTAACTCATGTCTCCTCTAATGAAACTACCTGTTTACAGACGTGTCTGCAATAGCTGTAGCTGAAACAGGCAGCTAAGCAAGCTTGTCTAGAGACAAGCTATGTTTACCAATACCACAACACTTGCAGCTCTCCACATCCCAATAGCTCCTCATAGAATCATAGATTTGTTTGACTTGGAAGGGAGTCTTAATGGCCATCTGGTCCAACTCCCCTGCACTGAACAGGGACACCTACAGCTGATCAGGTGCTCAGAGCCCCGTCCAGCCTGATCTTGAATGTCTCCAATGACGGGACATAAGATACCCTCCCCTGGTCCTACTTGTCCTTGAATTTTAAAGCCTTTCTTGCCTCTTACGCAGAAACTGTGATACTCTTCTGGGGGCAGTAGCAGGAAGGAGAGAAGCCAGTGGATGCTGATTTCTGTCTGTATTTCTCTGTGATGTACAGACCAACCTCAACTGGACCAATGTTCATGCCATCAACCTGACCTTGGTGAACGTCACCAGTGAGGACAATGGGTTCCTGCTTACCTGTATTGCTGAGAATGTGGTGGGGATGAGCAATGCCAGCGTTCTGCTCACTGTCTACTGTAAGTAGCAGTGGGGAGACTTTGGTGGTGCAGAGACTGGAGGGAGGGCAGTGACTTGTATGGATGCATTGCAGATTGCTGCCTGTGATGCACTGATATTTTTTTGGATGCGAATTAAGAGCTGAGCACAGCGGTGGGTCCTTGTTCAGCACTCTTAAGGTCAGTACTGAGCAGAATTTCTTGCAGAGTTGAGCAGTAGAGCAGACGAGCCCCAGGAATGCACTAGTGGTGGATGTCTCTCTGCTCATCTCTTGGAAGGTACAACAGAGTGAGGGGAAAGTCACAGAAGGACTAAACTGCCTTCGTTCACAAAGAGTTGCTCACCCTGGTATCATGAGAGAGGTTAAATGTCACCCTTGCTAAAGCCAGTGTGAACTTTGCCTCTGATTTTAGGGTGCTTCCCTCCAGATGTGCTCCTACAAAAGTTAAACAGCACACACACCATGTGGGCACACACGTGTTGCATTTCAACCATTCACTTTTAACTACTTGGAGCTTGACTTTTTGTGTGCTTTCCAATATATCTCAACACAAACCTGACCTTAAGGGGAAGTTTACAGAGCTTTGCACTCTCGAGCAGTTGAGATTTACTATATGTTGCTGTGTCTGTAGCATTTGTAATTTGTAGTTTAGAAATCTGACCTCCCAGCACCGTTCCAGGCACAGTAGGGACCATGTGTGATTCTGGCTAGTCTTGATGAGCCCACATGTGCTGCAAGCCTAGCATAGGAGCCACGGGGTCTTATAAAGACAAGGTAGTCACAGGGGATTGGAAAGAGGAGAGCAGATGCTTTCTACTTTCATCTTCCTCCCAGTAAATACTATTGATGGACTGAAGAATGGAGGTATTTAAAGTTCACATCAGCTCAGAGATGATCAGTCAGCAGGTGGGTGTGTTGTTTTTTTTTTTTTTTTTGCACTGTGTTTTAGCATGTTTTTCCTCCACACCTTAAAAAGCACGGAGCCAATGCCTGTTTTCACCCGTGTAATCCTCTAAGCTGCTGACAGTTTCTGCTACCCCTGCTCTCATTGCCCAGACCCATCACTCGGGCTGTGATTTCACACCAAAAGAGAGTAAAAATCTGGGTTTCTCTGTGTAGGTGGCTGCCTGATTTGAAGCATCCTTGCCAAGAAGATGTGAATAAGCCACATGTAGATCTAGACTTGTGAGTGAAACGAGGTGGCTGGGACACAGCTATGTGGTTCAGGGTGGCTGAGTACCACATTTTTTTTTTTTTTTTTTTTTTACATAAAATGAGGTCAGTGTCTTTTATTTTTTTTTTTTTTTTTTTTTTTAACCAAAATTTTTATTATTTTTCCTTGTGGATTGTCTTTGCAGCTGGATTCTCTCAGGAAAATGGGAACCTCAGAGAAGCTCTCTGTCTCTTTGTGTCCTTTGTATTTGCACAGAATTGTTCTTTGGGTCCACATGTTGCCAGCCTTAGGGTTTAAGACTTCATATGTAGATGTTGTGTTTGGGGTTTCAGAAGCAGTGGCAGCAGAGCATCTGAATTGCTGGGGGGTTTCCCAAAAGGATGAAGATACACACACAAGAAACTGCTGGTTGTGTCCCTGCTTTTCCTTTCTCTGTCCTAATCTATTCCCTTAAATTAAAACACCCCTGGAGGGTGCTCAATGAGTGGGAGCTCCTTTGGGATGTTCAAGCAGTCAGAATTCCCATGGATCTGCAGCCACAGGAGGATACTCTCTCCCTCAACTTATGAAATCTGAAACTGCTACTTGTGACTGGAGATCCCCCGTGGGTACCTCACATGTGGGTACTGTGATGGTGCTATGTCCTGGTATCCTCTATGGGAGCCGACTGCCTCCCTGTGATCTCTGGAGGAGAAGATCACAGCCATCTTGTGCAGACTGAGTAACTTCTGTCTTAATTTCTTGGCTGGTGAAGGAACCAACCTTGGGGTTAATACATAACCCCCTTTACAAGCCCAGTATTATGGTTCAGGTCCTCCTTCTGGGGAGTATGGAGTGGTTCTCATGACTTCAGTGCTCCTTTTTTTGCAGGCATCCATGGGAACAATAAAAGGAGCAAGGGATTTTGGAGGCTGCGCTTTCAATAACCTTAATTTCCCTAATGCACAAGGCATGATTCAGCTATTGGGTTGCTGTGAGCCTGCTGTGTTTCTCTCTGCTAGATCCCCCTCGCATCCTAACTCTGGAGGAGCCGGTGTTGCACCTGGAGCACTGCATTGCCTTTGCAGTGCATGGGAATCCAGCTCCTACCCTTCACTGGCTGCACAACGGTCAGGTCCTCCGGGAGACAGAGATTATCCACATGGAGTTCTACCAACAAGGGGAAGTGTCTGAGGGTTGCCTTCTCTTCAACAAACCCACTCACTACAACAACGGCAACTACACGATCGTGGCCACCAACCAGCTGGGTTCAGCCAACCAGACCATCAAAGGACACTTCCTTGAGAAGCCCTTTCCAGGTAGGATGTTCAGTTTATCTCGTTAGGATTGTCTGATGGTTTTAATATGATAGTACCAGTAATCCTGGCAGCTTGAGGAGGTGCTGTCAACTCATTCTAAGTTGGCCTTCAAGAAGAGGGTTGGAAAAGGGGACACCGAAGGACACTTGTGGTCACAACTGTCTAATTCAGTGATCAACACAGCATAGAAATTACAGAAGGTGATGAAGAGAAATCAGACCCCATTGGATCAGATGATCTTTGAGGTCCTTTCCATCCCAAGCCATTCTATGACTTATGGATTGTAGTCATCTGTGGTGGTGTCTGACTGGAACGTGAGAGCAATGAGAGAGGCATCATGATAAATCTAGTGATGTGAAGTTTTAAGTAGCCCTGCAAGATTGTGACCCCCAAGTACGTGGTTCACCTGTGGATGTAATGTTGTGTTGGGACTGCTGGTTCTCATCAGCCACATATCAGTGATGCCTGATGTGAATCAGTGTAAAAGGAAATGCGCAAAGCAGTTTAACAGCAGGAAATCCCCCTTTTCTTGTTCATATCAAGAGGAAGAATTTGATCTTGAACTTTGGTGGAAGTCAGTCTAAATTGCACTGAGAGGAGAGAGACTAAATGGTTTAGATGTTTGTGTTTGCAATATATCCTGCAATACACAGATGGTATTATTCTGTGGAGTTGTTACTTATAAGCTAAATAAAGGAAATCCTCTTAAAGTGAGGCAGGCTCTGCCTTTTGTTCCTTCTTTTATTTTTTTCTTCCAACTTGCAGTTGAGAAATGATTGCAACTGGATGAAGCAATGTCAGGATTGTTTTCTTTCTAAATATGACATGTGCAATTCCAGGATGACAGGTCTACAAAAAAAAAAAGGCGACAGCTCAATTAGTTGCTTTGCATCAATTTGCTAGGATTTCTTTACTGATTGTTTGGAATTCCCTGCTGCACTCTCTAGTGATTTATGGCTTAACTGCTAAAAAAAAAAAAAAAAAAAAAAAAAGAGAAGTTTGAAGACATGAAGATCCAGCTCTGGAGAGTACAGCAGAGACCTTTGGTGGTGATCTTTCTACTATACAGCAGTGTTGATGGCTGTGGTCTTCTCTCTAGTATTGCAGCATCACACTGACCATGATGGAGTTAAGGTCTGTGCATGCTGCTGCCTTCAGGAATGATGCCGTGAGAAAGTGGCAGCTCTAAATTGGCCCCTGCAGCCCAAGAAAATCCAGCAAAATAGGGCATTTGCTAAATATAGAAAAATACCAACAGTACTCTCACTTATTATTTATATCACACCATATATGTACACAGACTTTTCCCGCAGGTCAAATATTGTAAATGCAAACCCAAATCTCTGCCTTGAAGATCTGACAATTGAACAAATGAGCTGATATGGATGGGAATGGAAAATTTATATTCAGGCCTCAAGGATGATGCTGTTTGGGTATCCTACCTATTTACGCTTCCTGCTGTCGGGGGCGGGGGAAAGAGCAGCTTACAAAATGTGGGTGGGTGAGGTGAGGCACAGGTTCTCAGCATCAGCTCTGTCAGGTGCCACCCTTGTGACCCCATTTCCCCATATGTGAAATAAGGACACCTCTAAGTAGGTGCTGGATCTCCAGAAAAATGGGCAGGTCTGCTCTTCTGGAGAGCTGATTTTGGAAGTGTATCTAAACCATGCTATGATGTGGGAAGGTACACCAGTGTTTGAAGCACCTCTTCTGTCAGAGGCTCTGGGAGAACCTGTTTGTGTGAAATATATGTAGAATGTTGCCCTTGTCTGTGCATCTTCACCAATGCCTTGTGTGTGTTATTGATGTGAGTGCTTACATACCCTGAGCCAACTTCCAGCAAGAAATGACCCATTTCTCTTATTTCTTTTGATCTAAAGTCCCAAGCTGTTCCTCACCCTTGCAGACCCTGTCAGCACAATCCAAACTGTAATTTATTTTCCCTCAAGTTCGTTGCTCTGTCCACTGCCAGAGCTGACATTAACACTCAATGCAGCTGATGTCTATAATTTCCCATTTGAAGGTAGACTCCTCCAGGAAAATGTGACAAATTGAAACTTCCCCATGGTGGTTTGTTTGGGAAGCTCATTGCCTATAGCTATTCGCTCGTGCGCAGGTATTGCTGTAACTACCTATGATGGGATTATTAGTCTTAATACAAGCCTTAGCCTGGAAGAATTTCTTTTGGCATGGTAAAGGACCTTGTGACCGTGGGTTTTTTTAGGAACCTGTGGTGTGTAACCACTCATTAGTGTGATGCCAGATTGTGTTGCCTAGCCTGGAGGAGAAATTGCTACTAGAAACTGTGTAGGAGCTGGGAGATGCATGCCATAACTTTGTGCCATGTCGTGGCTCTAGGGGCCTGGAGCATGGCTCCCAGGACAAATTTCTCATCTCCCAGTGAAGATGTCATTGCATTTTGTCACTGACACCTCTGCCATAGGCTATTCCTATTTCCTTTTAACTAATCTGCTAAGTTGGTCTATCAAATTCCCCCTGGATGATCATTAGTTCTTTGGAAACTTCTCCCAGACATCAAATTGAATAAAATTTCTTGGTTTTGTTTTACCCTTCAAAAAATAGAAATGTTTAGTGGGAAAAACCTCTGATGGGTGTCGGTTTACTTCAGGAAAGAAAAATGCAAAAACAGATAACATTTTTATGACTAGAGTCTGTATTAATAGATAAAGAAGTAAAACTGTCCACAGAAAGTATTTTTTTCCTTTTTTTTTTTTTTTTTTTTCCCCCTCTTGCTGGAGAAAGTCAAGGGAAATTGGTTCTGCTTAACTTGAAACAAAAATATTTTTTCAGAGTCTTTTTCTCCTTGTCTGGAAGGCCTTGTTTGTCACTTGGGAATTGTTTTACACTTCCCTTCCAAACCTCCTCCGAAATTCAGTGTGAGCATTTCTGTGTCCTTCCAGGAGCCCTCTGCCAACAAAGCTGTGTAAACTCCAGTTAACATCAGGCTCAGTTTCTTACATGGGCGAGTGAATTGAAAGCTGACACTGTTCTTATGCTATGTAAACTGAATGTCATGGAGAGCCTTAAACCTCATTGTTAGAGCCCTTGGAAGTCTTCAAAGCTGAAGGGGCCTTGCTGAATAGACCAGAGCAGTCGAGTGGCTGCCATGCAGCTCTCTTGGGGAGGAAGCAGCTCTAGGTCAGCCATGGCATCGGGTCCAATGCTGACACTATTAGCATTCATGAGTGGACTTAATAGGCTTTTGAGGGAACTCAAGAGGCCTCTTCTGAGCCCCTGGCTCATTCTGGCCTGTTCTCCTTTTGATCTGATCCCTGCCCCTGTAGACCTTTGATGCTGGGTGAAGGCTACCAGCCAAGGCAAAACCTGCCTCTCTGCCTCCATCCTACTGAACACCTGTGTCTGCTGAGCTTTGATCATTTGCTAAAAGCAATCATTTAACAGCTAGTCAAAAGGTCCGTAATTTCCATTTCAATTTTGCAGTTGCATCCTTTCAATTTCACTTCAGATCAAGGCTCCTGTGCACTCAGTCCTGACCTCTGGCGTGTCCTGCTGGCCACGTGTATCCAGGACATCACCAGTTAGAGATGCCCAAAAGGATAAAATATTAAATGTTTTTGTTTCTTGGGCTCTTGAGGTGGTAGAGTGTCCCTGAGGTGGGCTGGGAATGAGATGACTGTGCCTTTGCTGTGTTGCTAATTGTGTTGCTTCTCTCTTTGTCCTTTCCACAGAGAGTACGGACAACTTTGTCTCAAGTAAGTGTCTCCTTTGCATACTGTGGGAGTTGTCTCTGGCTTCCCAATGCACGACCAAGATGGGTGGGGAGGTGTTGATCAGTTCTGGGATTTCTCCAAAGCCCTGGAGATACTTCCCTTAAGTGCGATCCTAAAAAAGGATCTGGTGTGTAATCATCCATGTACAACGTGCTGTGTGTTATGGAGTGGGATGAGAATTGGACTGAACTTTCATGGTGTTTCCTCAACAGACCATACTGTATTTCCCCACTCTCCAAAGCCCATCCAAATAACTGCTTCTTTGGATAAATTATGCTGAAATTAATCTCATACCTTATCCCTACTTATCTGAAGTTTCTATTGGATGGCTGGGGGTGGAGCTCACTCACCCTGGCAGAGCAGGGACTTGAATGTTTCTCAGTTGCAAAGTTGAAATAGCATTAGCATTGTCTTGGTCTGCGTTTTCTCTATGGCTGTGCACATCACTCTTTGATTTTAGTGCTGTCTGAAATAAAACTGTGCAGCCTTGGTTAGGGATGAACTGGTTCTCCTTGGGTCAGACGTGCACTGAGGGCATGCTGGTGCTTTAGGAACATCATCAGAGCCACAATGAATCTTCTTCATTGTTTTGGTTTCAGTTGGTGACTATGAAGTGAGTCCCACCCCACCAATCACTGTGACCCACAAACCAGAGGAGGACACGTTTGGGGTGAGTCCTGTCCTCTTCTCAGCACAACTGTTCTGCATGTATTTCTTATTAATGGCTCAGTGTTTACAGTCCAGCGCTGTTTTGAGATGCTTGCAAGGAAAAAATCTCTTCCTTTGTGGTTCAAGTCAGCCAACAAAATAAGAAGGGTTTTATGGTTTGTGCTGGGGAAGCAAAGTACTGATGTGAACTGTGTGAGCCTCTTGGGTCTGCTGTATGCAACCGGGGAGCTCTTTGAAAATAAGACATCCTGTGAAGTTGTTGCTGGCAGGTCAGAAATTCTCACTCTGAAAAAGTAGCACCCAGAGAACAAACAAACAGTCGATTGTGTTTCATGCTATTATTGAACTGTTAAGTTCAGCCCTGTTAGAGACTCAGATTTAGCTTGGTTCAATTTTGTCAATGCCAGTTTGCCCTCTCTTCTACCCTGCAGGGCATGCCAAAAATGAAAAATGAAAGAAAGCCCGTGGCTTATCAGATCTCACCATTGTCTTTATTTTGCAGAATTCAGGCAAGGGGAAAAATAAAAATGTGTACAAGCATTGGGAAAAAGTAGCATGTTATACAAAGTGCTCTAATTCTGTGAAAAAAATTTAAGATCTGGAAACCTGCTAAGTATTAACAGAATGAAGAAAACACAATTCCCCTTGGTTTTAGCTCCCATCCAACTGAAACTCTTGTATAGCTGAAGTGAAAGCTTTGAACAGTGAGAAAAGGGTAATAATGTGCAGTGATTATTAAATGCAAAGCATAGGAAAAAAAGCTGGGGGGTGAAAATAGCGTGTGGTAAAATAACATAAAAAAAGAAACTAAATATTGTAGCTGATATGTCAAGCACAGGGGGAATGTTGCGAAAGAAAATAATTGTTTTTGGTTAATGATGTATTTTCTATTTATACCATACAGTTTTGTAAAAATCAAGTGAGGTTTAAATGCAACATGACCCACTACAGGAGAGCAATTGGTCAAATGCCAAGGAAATTGCTGTTCACATCAATGTAGTGGAAGTATCTCGAGCAAAGACCTGTAGTAATAAATATTCAAAAATGTTAAAATAAGGCTGGGCTGGTATAAAGCCTTTAGCACAGGGAGGTTTTCTCTCCTCTGCTTGTGGACTGACACGTTGGTGCCACAGTTCCAGTGAAGGACTTTGGATGCTTCTCTGGTATAAATATTTACCACTTAAAATTAGAATAGATAGGGAACTGCTGGAGGCATTATGAAAACAAAATGTTTTGGGAAAGAGGGATTCTACCTGGTTCCTTCTGTCTTCTTTCTGCTCTTACGTTCTTATCCCTATTCTTTGTCCTGAGAGATGGTTGAATGGAGAGAGTTGCTCTTTCTAAAGGATATTGTGCTGCTCCTACATATTCCCAGCTCAGGTTAGTAGAGCTTTAGTGTTGTGACATCAAAGCACAGTAGTGATATTGCAAATGGAGGCTTGTGATGTATGCATTGGAGCAGGGCTCCTCCTTGCCAGCTGATACCTGGTTTGAGAGCCCTGGAAGAGCTGGTGCCAGGCCAACACTGCTGACAAGGAGATCCCAAAGCTCCAACACTGGGAACAACCCGTGATACTTCCAGTCTGTACCAGAAGTCTGGTTTTGCTTGTATTTTCCTCCATAGCTGATATCAATGGTTCTGCAGCAGGAGGTGTGAAACTAGTGGAAGGATAATTTGGCAAGGGAAATGCCTTTATTTTCAATCTAAACTCTCAAATTCCACTGCCTTGACTCTGTTTTTTCTTTCAGGTTTCCATAGCGGTTGGACTAGCAGCTTTTGCTTGTGTCCTCTTGGTGGTCCTCTTTATTATGATCAACAAGTACGGCCGACGGTCCAAGTTTGGGATGAAAGGTAGGTGCAGCCTCCTTCCTCTGGCAGGAGGCACCTTCCAGGATTGCCAGGTCCTTATAGAGCACGTGGAAAGGTGTTGTGGATTTGTTCATATGTTGTCAGTACTGATGCAAAGCCTTCTGAAGAGAACATTATCCAAGAGATATTGTTATCTGAAGAGAACAATATCCTCTGCTGGGATGTGAAGTAGTTCTGGTTTCTGTTGGAAAAGCAGGTGCTTCAATTCTCTGCCTGTTTATGAGTTGGGACCATGATGTGCTGCAAGTTTGTAAGGTGCGTGCCAGGAAAGCAAATGCTGACCTGCTTTTTGGTGATGTGGAAGTGTGCCTCTGTTGGAAAATTTTCTCCTCTGCTTTGTGAGTAGCAACTTGAAAGCTTTTTGAAGTGATTGGATTGTGAGAAAGCTTCCAGTGTTTGCTGTGCAGAACTGGTCTCTTTCCTACCTGAACCAGTGTTGGCTTGTCGTGGTGTTGATGGAGCAGATGACAGTGTATCATCTGATTATTGTGATTCTGCTGTTGTCTCCAGCTGGGGAGTGTTGGTGGTACCCTGTGAGAGCTTCATGCCTTCGTGTGACAGGAGCTCCCAGCCCAGTTGGTGGCTCATGCATTCGCTTGTTTTGAAGCCAGGCTTTGGCACGCAGGGCTTGGGCCAAGGCTCCTGAGTCACAGCCTGCTCCTGGCCTTGCTGGTGTCTGCCTTGCAGGGCAGTTGATGGGAGTATTTCTTCTGCTTGTCTAGAGCTTTGTTTGCTTTACATGTTTCCTCAGTGGATCCAGATGGGATTCTGGCTGGAGTTTTCCTTATGCATCCTATGGAGATGGAAGACAGGACTCTTAATTAAATAAAAAATCTTCTACACCAACTTAGCAATATTTAGTCCATATGTCTAATGATAGGAACCATCTGGAAGGGTGGTGTACTGACTGGTGGGTGGAGTAGAGGAATGGAAGACGTGGTTCTTGGGATCAATTCCCAGCTCTTCTACTGACTCAATGTCCGTAGTCAATTAGCTGTCTTAACCTCTGCCTCTGCTTTAATTCCCCATCTGTAAAACTGGGATGATGTTATGCGCCTTCTGGTGGGATTTGTCAGAACACTGTTGAAGTGTTTGGGCATTTGCCACTGATGAAGCTTAGAGATATAAATATAAAAAGGAAAAGTAACTTCTGACCCTAATGGAAGAATCAAAGAGGAGTGAATGTTATGTGAGTAACCAGTTTTGGAACAGATGTGTGCACATGTTAGAGGTGCTTGGGCAAGCATGTTAGTGGATATCCTGCATTCACAGAAACCAGAGATGTGCAGTGATGGCCCTTTCACGTGCAGTTTTGGAGAAGAAAAACATGTAACCAGAAGAGCCTGCTTTCCTCCTCGTTAGACCATAATTTGTCCAACCACAGCTATGCAGAATTCCCAGATTTTATAGATTACATTACTTTGAGAGACATCTCTGCGATGAGTTGCAGGTGTTCTAGGTGTCTTCATACACAAAAGCTGCTCTTCCAATTGCTTGCATTAGCTGAGATGCTCGGCAGTATCCTGGTTATGCCCTGGCAGCTGATTGATTGACTTATTTACCCCCAAGAAATGCCATGGTCCCCTCTGCTCTTTCCAGAATGCATTTTCTAATCTCTCCATCTGCTCAGTAGATCCATAAGCCTGGTCTCCTTAGGTTGTTTTAGAGTCTCAGCCAAGCTGTTGTTGGATGGTCCAAATCTGGCAATAATACCTTCAAGCCTATGCTTGTCCTGCATTTGCTGGGTGCCTCCTTTACTGGTGTCCTCTTTATGGGCTCCTTTTCCTTCTTCCTGAAGGCTGAGTTCATGGGGTGCTGCTCTTGTCCAGACCATTAGAGCGCTTTACTGAGTGGCACAGAGCTCTTCTCCTAAAGGCTCATGTACATGTTCTTCCCTATTCCAATGCCTTGTGCTGGACATAGCACAGCCTGCAACCCTCTCCTAATCTCCTTTAGCTGGGTCACTTGTTGTTTATTCCTAGGCAGTAACCATCATGTATGGCAACTGAATTGTTATCATTTATTGAGAGGAAGAAAAAAACCAACCCAAAAATGCAAAGCCTGAGTCTTTTTAGGAAAGTGCATCACTCCCTGAATCAGGAGCTGTTTTTGTTGAAATCCCAGCTTGGCAAGCCTGTAGGAGCAGTTTTTTCTGTTGTTTTTGTCACGGATGCAGAACATTGTGTACTCATATTGGACACGTTACCCTAAGTACCTCCTGAGTCTCTCTAAGCACATCTTTTCTCTAGAGTTAAACAGAGGGTTTATCTCCTGGTGAAAGAGGGGGATGTATGTGGAATGATGGAGATCACAGTGGGCTACCAAGTGTTAGCTGCTAGGGGGGCCCAACAGACTTCGGGGGCAGAGCAAAAAGTCTGGTGCTCTGCACTCAGCTGTCCCTTGCTCCAGCTCTGGGATGTGTCTCAATCTTTCTGAGCACCCATTGGAGGAGGAAGGTTTTACACCTCACCATTTGGGGTCAGCCTCATAACTGGGAGCCTCGTAAAGCTGTGCGTCTTCCCATCAAAATATAATCCCAGCAGATGACAGGAAATGAAATTTCATAATATAATAAAAAAAAAAAGCCACATGCAAGTCCTGGGACTAACAAACATGAAATTTCATAAAACAATAATAACGGCACAGAAAAGTCCTGGGACTAACAAAATGTTTGGATGGCACAGTGATGGGGGCTATATAAATGCTTAGGTTGATGGACTAAATATATGCTCCTCTTGCCTATTTTCTCTTACATTTGCAAGTGCCTGGGGATAGAGAGCGTGTGCTCATGCATATTTGTGTGATGTATTCCTTGTGCTGCACAACTTTAAAATTAAAAAAAAGAGACGGAAGAAAAAGATGTTAGAGAAAACCCAGAGACAAGAGCACTTGTCGTTTTGCTGAGGTGAACTGCTTTCCAGGCTCTGAGATTAAAAACTACTTACGTTTTCCAAATGAGGTTTCTTCCTTGGGTGGAGGCAGTGCCAGCTGATGGTTCAGAGTTGTTTGCAGCTAGCAGAAAATCCACTGCGCTTTAATCTGATTTCCTGAAGAAATAAGGCGTGTGATAGCGCTGTGTTTGTGTGCACAGCTCTCTTGCATGGTGTTTCTTGTCTGTCTGCTGAGGTTTCTGGGTCCGCTGACCCAGAGGAAAGGGTGGCAGGGCTTAGAGATGCATGGTTTTCACAGCATCCTGTTGTTTTAACAGGCACTGGGGAAATAGGTGGCTAAATAACCACTTGGGTGATGCCCTACTGACGGAAATATCTCAAGCATCAGGGTGTCCATGTGGATATTCAGCTTAGGATAAGAAAACTAAATTAATTGGGAAGGGCTTTATGGGTGATGTGAGCGTCTGTTGCAATGCCTACCAGCAACTCCTTTCTGATTAGGGAGAAGAAATAAAAGGGAGGTGGGAGAGAGGGAAGAATGACTGGTAAATAAATGCTGCCCACTCTTCCTATGATGTTTTAGAAATGGCGTTGCTATCAATTCATTTGGTATGTTTTAATAGCCCTGATCAAAGTGCTGGCACTGCTGATGTGCATGTGGATGTCAGAAGCACTTGCAGAGCTGTTCCATTGTAATTTAGCATTAGTTAATAGGTACTTAAAGTAAAGTGGTTGCCTATTTGATTATGATTGGGGGTTATTAACGTTTTTTTCCATAAACAGATGATAACTGTCCGCTGAGTCGATTGCAGAACAATTTCAGGGTTCTGATTCAAGAGGAGCAGCTCCTGAAAAGATATACTGGATGCCTGGCTTTTTGGTTTTGCTGGATTGTTTTATTGTTTCTATTGGCTTTTTTTTTTTGCTTTCCTCTTTCATTGTTCAATTATCGCTGCAGCTTTGAGGCATGTTGGGGTAATACACAAATACATGACCTACCTTTCAGTTGAGGCTTAATTCTGACCTGCGTTGCCTTGGTCGAGTCTGGTTGTAATCATGCACAGGTTGTTCCCTGATTATTTGCTTGCAACTGTATAGGAATGAGAAAAGTAGTTCTGTGCCTTGGAGAGGCTTGACGTTGAGGGTTAGGTGCTCAGAAACATGCAGGCACAGTGACTGCGTGGCCTTTTTTGAGGTCGGGGTCTTTCCTTGTTGGTACCTTTCCTGTTTGCTTTAAAAGCTCCTTGATGTACTGCTTGTGTTCAATATTACTCGGTTTTATTTGCCTGGGAAGTGGATTGAAAGGGCATGCGGTTTCACTGGGGCTTCTTTCTATAAATGCCTGATTGTTCTCTGTTGAAATGCAAGCTGTGCCATTTATTATCTGGTGGCTTCAAGGTGATGCAGCACGAAGCTTCTGCAGCTGGTAGGTGCCTTGCCCTCTGCTTAGCCTGCCAACCATAACAAGGTTGGCTGCAGCTCTGTGGCCGTGTGCTTCTTGATGAGCCTTGCCTCAGTGCTGCCCACCCAGGGGTTGTGACAAAGCCATGCCCTCTTGTGACTCCTCTCCTTCAAGGCTCTTACAACAGTAGTTACTGCTCATGTTCCAATTTCCAGGTTATGCTATTCTGGTGGAGGGTTTGGAAGATGTGGATGTTGCACTGGAAGGATGGATGTGGCACTGAGTAATGTGGTTAGTGGGCATCATGTAGTGGCTTGATGAGACTAAGATGATCTTAGTGGTCTTTTCCAACCTTAATGGCTGTAAGATGGCCTGGTGCAAGAGCAGGGAGCCAGTGCTGAGAAAATGTACCAGAAAGCTGCAGGAGAAATTAGCAGATCAGCACTGATTTAAATATAGAAATAAAACATTTTCTCTTTCCCAGAAGCATTAATAACCTATTTATAAATGAAATAAAAAGTGCACTGACCAGCTATCAGCTAGCACCTATTTCAATTGCTTTTACAAAACCAAAATGTTTATTTTAGGCAGCTGCTAAAAGCAGCTAGAAAAAATGTCAGCTTGATAGTTTTCCTGTGACCTGGGAAGCCTTGAACCTCCTTCGTGCTGCGTTCCCACAGGCTGCTTCT